TACTTATACGTTACTTATACCTTACCATCAAAAGGCATCGAATAAAGCGTTCTTCAATTCATCGTATCATTGGCTTTTGATTGAGGAGGATTATGCAACAGTAAATCAACAAACTGAAATCAATAACGACGACGACGACGACAATGATGATGGTGATGATGTCGATTATAACAACAGTAACAGAAATCAAAATGAGAATCTTGTCAACAACTACGATTACAACAAAACGTACAAAAATAACAAATCTCAAGCGTACAAACAAAGTAATGTTGACGTTTCCATATCCGCCATTGGCAAGCACTCACAGGATAATGACACAAATTTTATTGGCAACCAGCGACAACAGCAACAGCAGCAACAACAGCAACAACAGCAACAACAACAACGACAACGGCAACAATTACGACAGTATCAGCAACAACAACAAAATTATAAGTTGTTAGCAAATAAAAAAGGTTTAGTTTCTACTTCTAGTAATATTAGTACTAGCACTAATAGTAATGCCGGTGAGGAGCAGGATGCTGAGAATGAAAGCATTGAAACGTTTTTAGAGAAGCTCAATATTAACATAAATACTGAATTAATATTAGCTAAGCGTAAACGTTCATTTTCAATAGCAGTCAATACTAACAGTGTTCACAGCGACAGCGACAACAACAGCAACAACAACGACGATGGCAGCAGCAACAATATTAAAAATTATTCTAATCAGGCACTTCAAAGGCAAGATTACTACATTATTTATGATGTTTGGTAAGTAAAGTAAGCAATAATTGTATAAAATTGAAATCACTGCAAAATTATAAATAATAAAAAATTATTTTTTATTTACCAACAATCTAAGCAAATATATATACAACCGGCTCGCAGATACATTCGAGGGTAAATAGCGTTTTGAAAGTTCGATCTTTTTTTTTACGTACATCTAGCTCAGAAACTGTTGCGATAGATATGTCGATAGAGTTTGTTTTGTACTTATTACAAATTATTAAGTATTTAAATGGCTGATAGGTTGGTTAAACTGGTGACCCTTCATGAGTCCACTTACTGCTTTTTGAAACATGATAGTCCGGATTGACTACTCTGATTGAAACTTGATTCTTCTCATACCATTAAGTAGAATATATTTTATACTTACACGATTTTTAAAACACTTTTTGGATTTCTTTGGTTTCTTTCGGATAACCAGTTTCGATTATTTAACTCTGATTGAAACGCTTTCCTCATCGTATTATTTCGAATATAATCGAATATACTTTAACAAACATTCACATGCTTTTGAAAATGTTCTATGAATATCTTTTAGTACTGAAAACTACAAGGGATGTAGCTGTGCGAACGGAAGCCATTTTGCCTTTAACTCAATAACGATATCCGAGAATCGAGAGAAGCAAATCTAAGGCTAATCCTTCACTTCAATGTGAAGGCCACTTGATGAAGGTTCTCAACGTCCCACAATATATATAGTCCCGAAAACCAGTAGTCGATAATTTCTCTAACAGAAACCTTTTCCAAATCTTCGTAAATCTATGTACCATAAAGTAAAGTATATTATTCAATAAGCACAACTGTTGATTAAGGGGCATCCAAAGAAGAGTTTAACTGGATTTTATTTAGCATTCACATTTGCTTTTTTTTTGAAACTTTTTTAACTGAATTTTCACTTTTCTACTTAAACAATTATTTCAGTAAATTTCCATAATTACATATCAACGACATACCACAAGTTTCTAATCACAATTCAATCAATAATTGGGAAAAACTTTTCCACCTTAAAATTTCGTCGTTTGCAACTTTTCAGTTTGCTTTTTGCCCAAAGCTGAAACTTAAAGAACCATTCAACTGCAAACTTTGTTCTGTACTTCATCAATATTTGCTGATTGTGAATTCATACAAAATTTAACTGAAAATAAAAAAATAAAAATAAGAGAAAATCAAATAGAAATAAAAAATAGAATAATTCGTAACAAGTAGAAAAAACGAGTTGATTACTCCAACGAAAATTGCAAAAAGTTCACAAAGTCAAAGTGCAATTTGTGCCCACTTAAATGTGTATTCGCCTCTGGATTCCAATGGATTCGACTGAATTTGTAATTTTATTCGTAAATTTTGTATTACAAAAATGGGAATTAAATAGTAAAACATTTGCAGTTGCAATGCTCATCCACAAAATCAAAAAAAAAAAAAAGAAAATTGACGAGAAAGTAGTGAAAGCATTGGATGAAGTCTATTGAAGATTTTGTTTTTATTTGCACTTTTAATCAATTTCAGTTTGTAAATGTTTTGTCTGAATTGAGTCTGAATGGCATCAATGTCAATGATATTTGAATACTTTTGCTTTGTAGTATCATTTAATGTTTCTTTTAAAGAAATCTGATGCACGACACAAGCAAATGAATGTAAGAGTTCCTAAGTATGCTGTAAAGTAGTGCTTGGATAGGAAGTATGAATTCAAGCTTAACAAATTAAATATTTTATCTGATCGAAAGATGAAAAGTTTTATATACTGTTCTAGTTTAAACAACATAGTCAGTCAAAGACGTTTACGGGAAGAAATTAAGGGATTAGTTTCGAAAACTAATTGAATCTTTATAAGAAAACATTTAACTAAACAAAGTTTTAACATCTAGTGTAAATTGGTTTCGAAGTGGGTTCGAACCCTAAAATATCTCTTCTTGTATACGCTGCTGTAGATGGTCCTTAAATAATAGGTCTGTTCCACGAACTACTCATAGTAACTTTGAGTAAACACTGTGTATACACAAGCGCGTTTCACCAGCAAATTTTCATTTTACTTCTGTTTTACTCATGTTTTACTATGAGTAGCTCGTGGAACAGTCTTAATAATAGCAATTCCTAAAAGTGGAGATTAACTTAAGTTGAATGATTTATTAGAAAAAATTTATATATTTGGGAAACTCGAGAAACCTTGTTGAGCTATTCCCAAAGCTTTACAATTATAGAAAGTTCATTCAATTTATAGTGAATAAAAAGCAAAGAAATATGGTCTTTGCTATGTCAGTCTCCGAAAAGCACGTGGACCGTACATGGCACTTTCTTCTTACAAATTGAATCTTAATTTTAAATAGGCATATTCTTCATAAAAGATTTTTTATAATATAATGTCCTGTGTCAGCAACGAATCTAACATCTCATCGAGTGAGAAGAGAATCTTCCAACCATTTAGAGTTTAAAATAGATCTATTCCTGTAAATCCAACTTCTCTTTGAGAAGAGAACCTCTCAACTATTCACAACTTAAGATAGATCTACTCCTGTAAAGATGCCAGCAAGTTTAACTGTTGTCTTTAAAATAAAATATTAGTTCCATATTTTTTTTATGCTAAACCCATTTTTAAAAAAAACTTGAAATATTTAAAACATATTTCTTTGTTATTGAAATGGTATGTTGTTGTATACTGAACTAAAATCCTATTAGTATCGTGGAATCTAAGTAAACATAATTACATTTTGGACTACCAAGTTAATGAAGATTTAACGGCGAAGAAATAAAGGAAGGTTAAATAGATGCAGCATACTTTTTCGACATGTATGTGAATGAATGTTGTTCAAAATTGAGCTGAGGTTCCGTCACTTAAACGGTAGCCGGTAGCCCGAAAACACAAAACAACAATCGGTCTACTAAGTTACTTAAGAGGATTTCAGACGGCTTGGGTATAATATAATGACAATGGGGGATTATGTAAATAATGAATTGAGCGTTCATAAGTCGCAGATTTAATTGATTATTGAAATCTATGATTAAGTATCGTCCACCATACAGATTCTGAACAAAGGGATGTATGTAGAAAGGGTATTATGATTAGTTATCGGATTTGTTTTATGTAGTGGGCATTATGAGGTTTCTAATCAGAAGTGATGCAAAAGTAATTTGCTGTTTCTTTAAAAAAAAAAATTAGCCATCTTAAATATAAATGTCATGAGATGGAACTGAGATTTTGGATTCCAATGAGTACGATAGTTTCTTTGACTGATTTAGTTAGTTTAACTAACATCTCGTTTTGGCATTAAATGATTTTGGAACTACAATAAACTTCTTTTTTATTATGTTATTCTATAACTAAACTTTTTTTGTCTTTTAGCTTATATATTGAAAACTAAATTATAGAAAAAGATCTTTATTATTTTGATTACGTTTGAGACAGCTTAAGTACGCTTCAACCTAATAGAACTAAGTGGTTGTAATAGTCCCAAATAATCAAGTAATGAAATATAAAGTATTGAAATAAATACAATACTTATATTAATAAGTATAATATGTAATAATAATGATTTAAGAACTTGAAAGATGGATTCAGTGTAAACGACGATAAGCGAGATCTATTTTACTGAAGTCAGTCTGAGACCAAAGAAACCAAAATTAAAATAACTCTGAACCCAGATTCAGGAAGATTATCATCTTAGTAACACAGCATTATTAATCAATTAGGTTCACACTTGTTTTTCTAAACGGATAATTGAAGATATAGATTCAGGGAGAATACTAATAGATGCGTTACTCGCACAGTTACTATATACATCAGAAAAAGAGCATACATACCTATAAAACTTACATATTGTTTTCTTCATATTATTTGGTGTTTTAAAATTTTTTTTGTATTCTATTTATTTTATTTTATTTATTTATTTTATTTATTGTTAGCGACGGCTGGCTTATGCCATTTTTAATTATAACGCTCTCAGATCCTGCATTTGTATTTCTATTTCCACTTATATTTCTAGTTCTATTTCTGTCTCCATTCAATACAAAATAATATAAAAAATTTTTAAATCCAATCAGTTAATGGATTTGGAATTAGTATGAGTTATTTTTTGGTTGGTTACGGTTCAGACAACAATTGAAAAGAATTGTTCTACAGCTGTGTCCAATCTATGGTACAATTTAAACTAAATATTTTTAAATAAAGGTTACTGTTGACAAATACTTAGCCAGATTTATTTCAGTTTAAAAAATCCATTTAACTAATTGCTGTTACTTCGTTCACGAAACATTTTATTTAGTATAATTTATTTAGTTAAACACATATTTTATTTTCTACAGGAATCCCGGTAAGCAGTATGGTGGAGAACTGAATATATCAGAAATAGGCAATTTTACGCTTCCTCATGGACTTCAAATTTTTGACTGGTATCGGAGGAAATCAGCAGCAACGAGGCGATTAAATATGCATTTAGCTGGCATACGCTGTATGATTGTGGTAAGTTACAGAAAAAGAGTAAACGGGAAAAATATCATGTTACCATCGTATTATTATAATAAATTATTATTTAGCAAAAAAAATGAAATAATTTTATTAAATGGTCAATTTTTTTAACACGGATAGTTTAACAACGAAATTAGCGACGATGTTCGCCTTTTACTGTCTTACGTTTCTCTTTCTTCTCCTCACGTTGTTGTTTTTGCTTTTCACGGTCTTCTTTGTCTTTACGTTTTTTGGCTGCACTATCAAGACGTGCTTGCTCTCTACGTTCTTTTTGCAACTTTATAACATCGTGAAGGTTAGTATTGCGTTCAACACCGGTTAAAGTTTTGGGAGTGATATTCTTGGTAGCTTCTTCAGGCTTATCAGAAGATTCATCATCAGTAACTGGAGTTTCTGAGTATTGTGTTAATATATGTTTACGTATTTGGCGCTCTTCCTCTGTATATTGACGTTCCTTGGAAACGGTTTGTATTTTTTGTGCTTCCAGTAATTTAGTTAGTTGATCGGTAACGTCAATGGAGGACGAGGCTGGATGTTTGTCAGTTGCATTATCTTCTGTCATTAATTCTTTCCATTTTTCGAATATCATTTTAACTAAACAATTGGTATTATCGACCAGTACACTCAAGAAATCAGTTAATGCATCTTTTTTTTCCTCATCCGTATCATCGCCTTCCAAGATACCAAGTATATAATTACCAAAAACTGATTCATCCGTCTTCCACTCGACTAATTTTTCCAGTAGCCAATTTTTGAATAGAGCGCGTTTGTCTGTCATATTTTTATTTTTGTAATTTATATAATTGTTCACAATTTTATACAAACTTTTAAACAATTTTTTAATATTTTATTGACACTATTTGACGTTCTTATATATATATAAAAAATTGACGTTAAAAAGTTTGTTGATATTTAAAATGATTTTTTGAGCACTTAATTGGAATGATTAATGGGTTATCTATCGTATAGGTTTAATGCAGTTCAAATCAATTTCCCTTGTATTCACAAATTAAACACGAATTGTGTCCTCTCGAATTTTGTCGGCAAAAACAGCTGTTTATGTGTTCGAAAACCATGTTATGAAGGTGTGAATAGAAAACATGGTGTGTAAAAAATTGTTCGAATTTTTGCAATAGTCAATACAACTTATAAGAGAATATTTTGGAAAACAAACCTATTTTTAATGATATAACATATTACTCGTAAATGGATGGATGTAGCCATCTTGAGAAGGTGTGTATAGAAAAAATGGTGTGATACATTTTTCGGATTCTCGCAGATCTCATACATATAACCCATAGGAGAATATTATGGAAAACAAAGCTATTTTTAATAATATAACATATTATTGCTTTATTATTATTAGACACGTAATACAAATAGTAACTCGCGTAAATGGATAGATCTACTTTTAGTATGTTTGGTTCCTTACTTGAAACATGATAGCAAAATGGTGAATACTCACCAATTACGCGAAACGTGAGGATATATATATATCCTTCCTTACAACCAACCAACCAGTCGACACTTATAATTACTTGATGGTGTTTCACTGCTTTGGTGAAGGTTTCCGTATCAATGTGCTAAACTATGTATGTTCAGAATCAGTCACTTTTTCTTAATATACAATATACCATATAAACCAACATATTTCAATGGCATTTTTCTTACTGGGTACTTACTGAAACACGCATCCGTAATATAAAATAAAATGTAAAACGTTTTATGGAAAGCACTTGGACATATTTGGAAAATGTGAATGGCTTTTGACTGAAGATGTCACCAATTGTATTTTGATTTCCCCTGTGTCATTTCTGTGTACTTCGAATGTGTATTTGTTGTTATTGAAATTTGAAATTGTTGTATCTATTTTATATAGATTGGGTACAAAAAAAATATGCACAAAAGTCCCCATACAAGCGGCATTGAAAACTGCAATAGCAATAAAATATTTTTCCGCTGCAGGCAACATCTACGGTTATTTTGGTATCAATGTAGAGTGAGTGGGTTTATGGGCCCAATATTTACTTTGCTCATAGGTAACATGCCAAATGCTGATGTTGGATGTTAGATGTTAGATGTTATGTTGAGAGACATTATCCACATCCAGCATTTCTATTGTGTATGGTTTGTGCATTATTTGTGCCAAATTGCTTAACATTTTGCATCATTTTACAATCTTCTTTTTGTTTTCTTTTTTGAATAATATTTCCCCTTTACTCTTTTGTTATTTAGTATTATTCTTTGTTTTTTTTTGTTTTTGTGAAAAATTTATTGTAACTCCAGTTTTTTTTGTCTGTTTTAGATTACCCACAAGAATCGTTCGGATACCTTGGAGCATTATCTTACAACACATTACGATACTCATCTGGATTCAATGAATCGCTTTAACTTTGCTCTGCTCTCACACGTAAGGGACATGTACAATTTCAGGTTCGTTGGATTTGTTGTTTTGGAATTAAAAAACATTTTTTCACATTCTTATTTATTTTTAAATTTATTTATTTCTTTTTTTTTTTGTTATACGAGAGTTTATATTTCACCATTCCTAAAGAAGCTGTAAATTGTTTGGTTAGTTTAGGGTTTCATCGTAGTTTAGTTTGGTGTAGTGTTTGCATTGATTAAAATCCATTTGCTGCAGGCACGTAATGACAGAAGAGTGCTGCAAGGGTACAAACGCCAATATTTATGATATATTCAGAAGAAAAATTTATTTCCAGAATATGAAATCACAATACTCCATTACCACAAAGTTTTCAGTTAAAGTAAATTTTAAATATTTAAAATATTTTTCCTTATATTTCTACATAATATGGAAAAGAGCTGTGCTTGATTTTCGTACACGTTTAGGCTAAAACATTCGTAAAAGGTGTATATTGATATTTTACATACGTTCTCCTATGAACTACTATTAAATATCATTAAAAATTGGAATTTTATTAAATATCAATTGAAACATTACTATTATCTGACTTCCTTTAAATCGAAAAAACGCTGATACACAGAACTAAAAGATATCCCAAAATTTGTCAATACCCTTAATCTGTGTCTGGATTAGATTCGACGAAAAAAAGACACAAGTATAGGCATTATATCTATCTTTATTGTTAAATTGTTACATTATATTGAGATGCCTGCGTGACTCACTATATATCTCTAATAACAGTCCTAAAAACTATCATTCCATCATGGATGCCAGTCAGAGTTGCATTTAACACTACAGTCATATAGTATGGTAAGTGAAGGGATTACAACAGTAGCCAAACTAAACGGAAGAAAGATATGCATTATAAAAGCTATTGCGGTAAAAATGTTAAACGTCAACCAAATGGGGAATACAAGTGCAAATAAATCAGATATATACGTTCTATCAGTAATGTAATTACGCTTCAATATTTTAGAAAAAATTTTCCAAACTAAAACCTGTTTTCTCGCTGCCAATATAGATTTTAAGCTAACGGTCTAATATACTATATATTTTCACAGACAGATAGACAGTGATTAAAGCTTTCGGATATAAGAGGTCTTCAGCTTATATAAGTTTACCAGTATAGATAAAATATTAACTTTACAGGTAGCAATTTTAATGCTAACTAAACATTAGTTTGCGATTCCCACCATGCGGATTTAGCACGGAATGCGACTTGGTGACTTTTCCATATATAAGATATCACAGATCATATTAATAAAAAATGTGACGTTACGAATATTCTGGCGTAACTTACTTAGCTTAAAATGAGAATCAATTGAAAATTAGTAAGCATTTAGTAGGCATTTAAAATTTGATTAAAGTAAAATTAAATAGAAATTCTTTCTTATATAAATTTCATTCTGTTTGAAAATTGTCCAGTATAAGTTACACATTTTGATCCGTTCAAAATTTGTTGTTAATTCTATATTTTGTTGTGTTTTGTGATTAAATTTCTTTGTAACAAAATTCAAATTTAATTTTTGGCAAAATTGAACCAATTTTTGCTTTAGACAATGAAGGGAATTAAAATCATGCCTTTAGTGATTACCAGTAGTTCAGATGAAAGCGAAGGCGAAGAAGTGATCATTACTCCTATTACCAAAAAACCTGACTTTTCGGAATATATGTGGATGGAAGGTGAAGATGATTTTGATAAAAAGGAATTGCAAAAACTTAGCGATGAATATACCATAATGCAGTGTATTAAGTCTGCATTGGAAGATGATTTAGAGGTGGAACTAATCAAATGGCGCAATTCAGAAGCTTTAGATAATGGTAGTGCCAATGTCGAAGTCTTAATATCTGCGCTTTACACTTTGGGAAAGCGTGACTTTAATGTTTTCACCTCAAGTTTAAATCCTAAGGCTCAGGAATTTATTCCTCGTGGCCCAAAATACTAAAAAAATCGTAAGTTTTTATATTAAATGAAGAAAATCTTTATAAGACAATTAAGAAATGATGTCATTCAGTTTTAAAGAAATGATTATTAGATAAGATAGTGTTGCAATTTTAAGGAGAAGTTCGGGGATTTGATTGATTTCTCTGTTAGAGATGTTGTGAATCTCCAGTTTTTGGATTTATTCAGATCCAGACTTAAGTAGTAGAATGCTTAAAACTTTTGTGACATAAAAATCAACTAAATAGTAGTTTTAAATAAATATGTTCTGGTTATAAAACACTCTTTTCCGCTTATAATTCTAGGAATGCGAGATGAAAAAGACTAATTGAGGAATCTTAACCCGCTTTCAATGCACCTATTTAAAGATATAATATTATTGGTGAAATTATTTCACTTTCAATTATTATAGTGAAACCTATTTGGTTTGTTCTTCTTGTGAACGGTGGAATGTCGGCTAGGGTTGAGAATTGGATGAAAACCGGCTTCGTTATGTAGTGTTAGCAGCTCTTGAAATCAGTTGCTTAAAAAATGGAATATTACAGGGGCTTGTGGAAATAATTTTGAAATGAATACAAAGAAAAGATTTCATAGAATCTATAGAAGAGATTTCGTAGAATACTCGTATAGTTTGTAGAAACTATTTTGTAGATAAGAATTTGTAGAACAGATTTCGTAGAAAATTTTGATGTAATATGTTGTGCGAGAGTCTTTCGTAAAATGAAAATGTTGTTTTGTAAGGATAGATAAAATTATATTTTTTGACATTTCATAAAAAATGACAAATAAATTTTTTTTCCTAAATTAGTATTTGGATTCATTATAATGTCATAAATTAGTATGAATCCTTTTATACGAGTACCTAGTTATCTAGTTTGTTACCTTTAATTTCGTGATTTTGAGTGATTGTAATTGTTTATAACCTCAATAATTTGTTATTAGTTTGATGTTCCTTAATCTAAACAACAAATTAAAAAACCATTAATTTTCATTAAACTTTCTTAACAAATTTTTGCAAAATTTCTACAATTTCTGCAATCCTACAATATATTCAATAATTCCATATCAATTATTATTACATTTTGCAGCTTTATAATGTCGAAAACAACCACCTGGGGATACTTAAAAAATGGTAAGTTCGATGGAATGATTGGAGCCCTAACACGAAATCAAGTGGATATTGGTGGTTCCCCGATCTATTTCCGCATCGAACGTGCCAAAGTGATTGATTACACAACTAGAACATGGGCTGCCAGGTAAGTTAGAAAAAAAACACAAAATCCGTTGAAAAATTGTTGACTTTAATAGCGGAACGAAAGAAATGTATTGAATGTATGTGTAATAATCGAGTGAAACGAGAGGAAAAGGATATTTTTAAAAATACATGAAAATTTTAAAATTTTTTTCTTCCCGTTTGCTTGTTAAGAAATGTTTTTACAATTACGCAAAAACCAAAATAAAACAAAACAAAGATTACACAATATAAAATGAGGTACTCGCGTTGCTTATGTTGGTACTCCTGCATATCCTTCCTGCTCCCTTGAACCTTTATGGTTTGTTTAATTTGGCGTATTGTGTTACCTGTCAATAACATGAAAAATGATGCAATGTACGCTGGCATGAATTTGTTGTTATTGTTGACATAGCTTACCTTATGTGGCATAAATCTTCCTGCAGCGCTATTTTGGCCGTGTCTGTGTGTATGTGTGCGAGTAAACCTATTTGTGTGCGTATTAAATTCCAATTTTTCTTATTTAGATATACATTTACATGTGTGTGTACGTCCTGTGGTGTTAATGGCAATTTTATACTTTTTATTTATGTGGCGTTTCCCCAGAGTTGTGGTCCTGTTGACTTTCGTTTAAGTTACCGGCATTAAATTTGACATATTAATTGAAACTAAATCCTGTTGTGTAGTCGCTATTCAATTTAATTTTATTGCTTTTTAAATAATTCGGTTGTATGTGTGATTTTTCAAACAAATTTGTTGTTATTGTTTGTAGGTAAAAAGTATCTCTTCTATTGGTTTTTTTGTTTAAAGAATATTTATTCGTATTTATTTTTGGTATAGACCGTGTTTCATCTTTAGACATCCACGTAGCACCAAAAAGGATCGCATTGTCTTTTTGCAACCCTTCTCAAATGATGTTTGGATATTTGTGGCAGTTTGTGGCATATTTACCATATTACTACTTTGGTTACTTACCAATATGGAGAGGAAACTTAAGCCACAGCAAGGAAATATGGAAGTATTCACAGGCAAAGGAAAGTTTTATAGTCATTGGATTATTCCATTTGAACGCAATAATTTGTTAGCATGTTGGGCTTAGTTGTTAGAGAATTCTGGCTGAATTTGTGCGGTAGATTTTATCGGTGTTCAGAATTAAACAATATATTTCCTATCCTAGAAGCTTTATTTAATAATATATTTTTTAGTCAAAGTAAGTTCCCATAAATATATCTAACCTAAATTTACGATATTTAGGGACCGATTTGATAGTTGCAGTTTAGTCATAGAATTTTAAGTAAAAATCAGCTGATAATAGAAAAAGTTGAGAAAATTTATAATCAATTTGATTTTTTTCTAAATTAAATTTGATGATTTTAAAAATTTTTACAAAAATATCGGTTTGTGACTCTGATTGTAAAAGCCATTTTGATATTGAAAAAATTTATAATGTTATTTTATTCAACCAAAGGAAACTCAGACCGACGTGATTGCTTCTAGTTCTAGGTATAAGCTTTATAATTTTGAACTTACTAAGCAAGTAAAAATTTCCATAATCAATCGTAAAACAATATAGAAGTAAATATGATATTTCCAATGTTGCACTATTTTTCATCATTTTGATCTTCTTAATTCTTTGGATTGTAAAAACTATCAACAGTTAACTTTAGGGTTCTTAATTAGACCTTGATGTGTATATCAATAACTGATTTGTAACTGTGTATAGCTTTTACGTAGATATGTGTAGAGTTGAGCACTTGCTATTTTTAAAGTATTATTATAAAATAGGAAATAATGATTGCTATCAGTTACACCAAAAAAAAAAAATTGATATTTTTATTATTTGCCCTTTGTACGGAATGACTTTGAAACAAGACAATATATTTTATACAAAGAAACATATTGTTTTTATATATCTATCTCACTCAAACTACTATTATGAACTATAGACAACTATCATAAACTATAGACTGCAACCATTAACCATAGATAACTAACATAAACCATAGACTACAATCATAAATCACAGACTACCAGCACTGTTGGAGCAACATTTACTCTGCTCAGAGTACCGATATATCAAAAATTTGATAGAACTATGCGCTGTAAAAAAGCAATGGGGCGCCGGTCATTTGCATACTATTTATTAATGACATTTATCACAAATAATATAAATTCTTAGTAAATTGTCTCATATTAGCAGTACTTTCCTAATATAAATAATAAATCATAACTGCATGGTAATATTTATAAAAAAAATATTAGATCTGGACGTAAAATTGTTCAGTACTTAAATTGCCATGTTTAGTAAAATGATAAACTATTTTTAATATTAAATTCAATATAAATTAATCAAATATGGATGAGTTTTTATCAATTCTTTTTTTATATTAAGATCTACATAAAATTTTATGAAAAGATAAGTTTTTAAACTGCGTTCCATTACATTACACTTAAAGGTTCATAGCTATAAAATTTGTCCTTTATGAGCACTAAAATACACTGAAAAAAAAAACCGAAAAATTATGAAAAACTTTGTGACGTAATAGCTCAAAACTCTTAAATTTTTACAATTTTTTTCCGTTTCGATGCGGAAACATGGTATGAAGTTCATTTTTTCATCAAAATTTGTAAAACTTCGAAATGTCGGAAGATGAAATAAAGTATGTTTTGACTAGACAATACCGAAATCGTCTTTGATGTTAAAATATTTCCCAATAACTTTTACTTTAAGTCTCAATTATTGTTTTTAATTTCTTCTTTTCCTTTCAATTCTTTTTGGCAGGTGTGACAAAAATAATAAAAAATGATATGGATATGCGACAAATTAATAATGGACTTGACGGTGAGGTTACAAAACCAGTTACAAAACAGTTAAGAGTAACAGGCAACGTAACTTGGTTTAAACGTTATTTCCTTAACTGTGGAACTGTTTTTTGTAGCCCCCAACAGGATGACGCATCGCGTCGACGTGTTGGACTTTTCTTAGAATCTACTTTGTTTTACATTGGTTCGATATGCCAACAAGGTAAGTATTTACCATATATATTTCTTTACTAATCTAAATAACATTTTCTGAAAGCTCATATTTTATGTAATATTATACTATTCTAAACAGTGTGGATTATACTATTCTTTGAGTTGAAGATAGTAAACTGCCTATATATGCATTAAACAAAGGAATTTATAAAGTTTATTCAATATACATATAATAGAGATCGTAATGTTACGTTAAGTTCTTATTGGCCCAGTTCTATGTAAATAACTGCAATAAATTAATGAAAAAATGAAACCGTAATCACTTATTAAACCAAAATATTTGCATAAAAAGACTTTCAGACCATAGGCTTCTCCATTGTAGGGATTATAAACTTGTATCTGCTTTAAGAACAATTATTTCTGATGTAGTTTGGAAATCTTAGTTTTGATGTTATGTTTAGATAATAGGTGGCTAATGTTTCGTATAGGCTTACGTACTTTCCTATTGATCGATATCAAAAAAACAGAAATCTATTACATTGAAATAATTTCTCTTAAATTAGTATCTTAAAGATAACTATAGATTATAGTCGAAGTGTCGGTAACAATAAAATGTATTTTTATTTTTTTTTTTATTTATTTTTTTCATTAACCAGTTGCCCGTTCAAAAATATTTATACTATAATAATACAAGTCTGTAATGAATGAAATTGTACTTAATAGATATTAAGTAATACGTGTACGGGTTTACTGAACCAGTGTTCAGCTCCCATAAAATTTCTTGTAATATGTGGATTTAAAATATTTATCCGGTGTATATAAACCATATTATTATTCGTTATACACTTTTTTAATATTCATAGTTCCACATTTCACTTACTCATGTTAATTTCTAGATCTCTTCAAAATAAGTCCCTAATTACCCGGAGTACCCTTTTAAGGTTTGCGAACAGATAGCATTTACTAGACGTCTAGTTTTAAAGTACAAGAGGGTTTTCAAAACAATTTGAAGTGGTGCTCCGTTTTGTAAGTTATCAATCCCTTGTGATATGGGTCGTTATCTTGATAACAGAATTACTTTTTTCTCTCGATTTTTTTTCATGATTTTGTATTTGTAAGTAATTGATGAAATTTACAATATGCGCTTTCTAAAATGTAAATGTTATTACATTTTCGGCTCCCAATTCTTGTAGTTTTATTTTGTACCATATGTAGATGAAGACTGTCCACAGAAATAATTCTGACGTATAGTCTTTGATTATTTACCCGCTTTGAGTGACTGTTGTCTATCGCTATTTACTTAGGTGATTACCGATTTGCTAAGAAACTATGATACAAATCATTTCTAACATATATCTTCATACTACTCAGAACTACCAACTCTTCACTGGTTTTACTTGAACTAACGCGGTACTAATTCTGTAAATAGTTGTCTTCTGTTTAAATATTCACGTAAAATCTAGTTCGCACACATTTTTCTGGTATTTCTGCCTCATCTATCTCTTTTATATCTTTTTAGTCTTTCTTTTTTTCTTTCCACAAAAGCTCTTTTCAATTGTTAAATTTATGACACTTTTTCTTAATTATGAAGTACTTCAAGGAGTAAATTTCTTCCGAACAAAAATTTGTCACTGCTTATTTCTTGTGTTAAACATGCTGCTAATAATTTTATTTTACTTTTACAAAAGGTTTGGCATTTTCGACAACTTTCTTTTCCGGACGCTGCATTGTCATAACAAGTCTCTTCTTCTCGTTCTCCATTTACCAGTTTTATTCGGCGAGTATTGTCGGAACTCTATTAATGGAGAAACCGAAAACAATACGCACATTGCGCGACTTGGTGCATAGTTCATTGGAAATTGGCATCGAAGACTTACCCTACAATCGAGACTTCTTTTTGGTGAGTAAAAGCTTTTAGTTTCAAACTATTTATGATTTCAATTTTTACAATTTTTTATTTTCATTGCACAGCGTACCAAAGATCCTGATGCGATTGAATTGTATGCAAAGAAAGTAACTAATATACCGCCTGCACCTGAATTTGCAGAGTCCAATGGGGAGAGTATGCCACCGACACCTGCAACAGAACTAAGTGCAGCGGCCAAGGCAAAATCGTATCGTGACATTTTGCACAGTCATGAGACTGGAGCACATGCCAAGACTAATGAAGCATCAAATTGGTATGAACCGGAATATGGAGTGGCGAAAATAAGGAAAGGGAGTGAGTAACATAAAAAATTTAAATTAATTTATTTTGGCAGTTAAAAAAATTGGCAAAATTTATGCGCTGTTTTTAATTACGTACAACATAAATCGAAAAATAAGTTTTTAGTAACTGAATCTGTACAGTTTTGGCTGAAGAAGAAAAAAAAAAATTAAATATGAAAATGAATTGCTACAATTTATAAACAAAATTTGTTGCCTGCCGTCTCCGTTTACAGTATTTTTTTCATATCTTTATGAAGTTTGCTGCTTTATGTTGCCAGTAGTGCCATGACCACAAATGTTAAATAAACCAAAGGCATCCATTATTACCTTTTGTGTTGGAAAATTGCATGCTGCAGCTAAAATGTGTCCTGCGTTTTGGTTGCAATGCAGCCAGTGTTAGTGCCAGGGTCCTAGTCACTCAACTCATACCGCTCACGTTTATACGTTATTCTTGCTGCGGCTTTTGCTTTAGTTTTGTGCTCTTCATTTCGTGCTATTTTTGCTGGCTTGCATTATCGCAACCTCATATTGGTTACCGGAAAATACAACTTTTGCGTCCGGCAGATCGCCTACAACTCAAAACTCAACAAAAAAAAAATAGATTAAAAAATTATATAATCATTGGTACAACAATGCAGCACTGTGTCCTTGTGTGTGTCCCTATTAGCAGTTTTGTCTCTATTTCCTCTTTTTGTGCATATTTTGCAGGATTTGAAATTCGGTTTCATTTTCGCTTATTTCCCAACGCTTTTTAAAGCGCCTTGCTTTAGTTAACAAGCTCAGCTTTGTCACATTGCCAATACGACCACACACAACCATTAGAGGCTTACCACCCACTGAACACAGCCCACCACCCAACCGACATACTAGAGTTTTTACAAAGGCATGCATAAATTTCGTTCTCTGAGTTTTGCATATAAAAGTCGGAAATCGTAACTCCATTGTTATGTGCATTTTCGAATCCGTATTTTATTTTATTAGCTGGAATATTTTCTATTTTAACCTTGTTTTACTGACCTTAATTCCACGTTGAGTGAATTTTCATAAATAAATTTTTCATTTTTTATGTTTCATGTTTTCACGCAAAAAAAAAAAAATAGTGTAAACGTTGGCTCGATTTCATTAAGTTTGTCCTTTGTTGGGCTATATTTTTGGGCACAAATTGGACATTAAAATTTCAGTTAAAATATTTTTCGATGTAAAAGGAGTGCGAAGCTCGCTTCAGTTTTTAATGAGATAATAATGAGAGAAAGTGCCATTAAAATTATTTGGATTACTAAATTAAAATGAATGAAGTTTAAAGTAATGTGGTTAAAAACTTTACTTGAGTATTTATTAAAGTAATACAGTAGCTTTTTATTATCATAATTATCATAGCATAAAAACATACTAGAGTATATTGCAATGCACTTTTATTATATTGAAATGCACTTTCACTATATTGCAATGCACTTTCACCAGTGGCGGAGCTAGACCGAGGCCCCCTTTATAACCCAGTTGTAAAAGTAAATAAGTTACATTCACTAATACGACAAAGCATGATTGAAAGTTTTATTGCTAATCAATTTAAAATAAACTCAAATTAAAATAAATGAATTTTCCTACTTTTAGTATCACCCTATTTTTTTTTAAATTATATCATAATGAAGATAGTCTCTCTTGGACCATCATACTTTTCTAGTACGTCTTAAACAATTTTAACTTTGCTTCTTGCTTTTCGTCGAAGTTATACTGACTGGAACTGTGAACATGAATCTGATTACTATATAAACATTAGGAAATACTTCGAATATAGTTAATGCCATTATCAAACCAAATTACTCAAAATATTTATTAAGTGCTTAGAATCCACAGTTGGTAACTTATTGCGAGGCCCCTGCGGGCGCGAGGCCGACATCGCTGACGCCTAGCGACGCCACTGACTTTCACTTGCACATTACTGACACTTCCGAACTGATCATGAATTTTTTTAGGAAAATTACTAAATTTTGTTTTTGTCTGCTCACACCATCGATTATCTTTGTCGACGTAAAGTAAATACTTAGTGAATGTTTCTTTATGTTTTGATAAAACACACAGAAACTGATGACTTACCTTTAAGGACAGCTATGAATTTTGTATCTGCACATGGAACGCCCAAACAGGCATGCAACGGTCAAAAAGATTAATTGATCCTGAACACATCAAAGTTGATGCTATCCCTGACATTAAAATCTACACTGAACTTCTTACAGGACATTGTAGACTTAATTACCACATAAAGATTATAGGTGCGGCAGAAAGTGACTCCTGTTGACTCAGTCATAAGGAGATGGAAACATCAGAACATATTCTATGCAATTGCCCAGCAGCAGCAAAACGCAGACTCGACTACCTTGGAAGCGGATTCTTAGTTCCTAATCAAATAGGTAAAATTAAGCCCAAAGCAATTACAAGATTTATAGTCTAGAATTGTCTTAGTTGGGCCTTTAGGCGCACAATAGCTCTTTTAAGTCGGGGTGCATTCATAGCCTATTATTTAATAACTTGTATCTTCACAACATTTTTTGCTTATATTTATGCAATTTTAGAATGCAATGGGATGCATTTATATAAAATAAGGGTTTATGAAGATAAATGTACTCGTACATATGTATATACGGCAGAGACCTAATTTTGTATACTTTGTTGGTTGTGATGCAAAAAAGATTACATCTTCGCTAGAAAGGGGGTTCTGATCTGGTTGTAAATCTAGATTAGATTTAATATACCCTTTTATTTTTTTATGTGTCTAGATATTTAAAAGTATCTAGGCATATATTGAGACATACATTTTCAAAAGGATAGCGAATGTGTACATATACTGCCTGTAGAAATTAAACTATTCCGATAAGTAAAATTGTCAAGTGTTCCAGAATCTTGAGAATCGATTTCATCTATGGATTAGTTGACATTGTTTAAAGTGTGCATCTTAATCGTCGTTTTGTATTTATTTTAAAATTATATTTTTCCGACTCAGTATTGTTATAATTAATTTGTTTTGAACACATATTAGTGCGATTGGTTGACAGTAGTTACACATTATCCATATATGAAAAATTAATTACAGATTCGAATGTCTTTATTATGGTAATTTTTTGTTAGATAATAAATGATTTGGCATTACATTGACAATTATTTTTAATTATAGAGTCGAACTTATCTAATACACAGCTGTTTCATACTCCTGTACTCCTGTTGGTATGGTAACCCTGACTGTTCCGTTCTTTAGAATTCAGTTCGGTGAGTTGGTTTTTCTTTGTCTTTTGCTCAGTTGTTTTCGAGGGCGTATCATAGATATATATTGAGATTCAAAATTCAAGTAATGTTAGATTTTAATTAATCTTAAAACTGCTGCAAGTACTTTGTGCTCACAAAGTATTTACTATTCTGATGCCATCCAACTAAAGTTCATTTTATTTAGTTTTAGTTTAATTATCCTATTTAATCCAAACATAATTAAATTAGTTAATTATCCTATAAAGTTTCTTACAACCAACGGCAAATCAGCCTCAACTTACAATTCTAATTAGTATGAATACTATTCTTAAGCACATACTAGTGTTATTGTTTTCTATGCACTTTTAATGTACATATTTTTCTTGGTTTTATTCATATATTTAAATTTCCTTTAAAATATATCGAATCACTAAATTGAATTTTCATATTGCCTTGCACCTTAAGGATGTGTTCTATTCAAGCCCCTTGCAATGCTGCTTTCTCATCCTGTCATACACAGTAACCTTTAAATTTTCATATACTTATATATCAACTTTACAATGCATAGCAGTTGAATTGATATACGAACTTCTCTATATATTTATATGCAATGATGTGCATAAAGGATTTGCATTTCATGTTGATGTGGCAACCGCTTATAAAATCATTGCGGACACATTTACCGAAAAGGAAATATGCGATCTAACAGAAATACATTTATTCCAGCCGCAGAAAATGGTTGCCATCGTACAAAAAGGATCGCCACTGAGGAAAATTATAACATATGGGTAAGCTAACATATTCTTCTACACATACATATATGTATATATTTCACTGCACTGTATGTATAGATACATTGTAGTATCTCATAGATGCGATTTTAGTTTCGTAATAAGAAAATGAGGAAAAAAACAGTTGCGTGGCTTGCATGCAACATTTCCAGTTATGAGAAAATTTTTGTAATTGAAGCGCTAATAGCAAAATTATTTGCAAAAAATTTTAATTATGGAAAATGAAAAAATAGAAAAATACACAGAAAAAAAAGAAGCGATAATGAAAGAAAAGCAGCAGTGACTTGCTATAATTGCAAAAATAAAATTTTTCTTAAATATTTATTAATGTGCTACATTCATAATTTAAAAGTTGTTTTTTCTTAAATTTTTGTAGCTTTGAACAAAATGTATATTCTCCTTATATATGAAATTAGTTAAAATAACGTCAGTCCATTTATATAAACATTTTTTAAATTAAATGATATAAATGTCCCTGAGTTCCTGACCCAATAAATAAAGAAATTATAAGATAGGAAGGGGGAGGCAGTTCACATATTTCTAACACTTTTACTTAAGATGCAGAGCGACAAAAATAACTTCTTCGTATTAATCACGACTATAATAAGATATTTCCTTAAATGCCTCTAACTTGTTTTGCGTAACACACCAGTTACCGCGAATAGAATAAAGTTCTTTGATACAAGATTTATACCCCAACTTCAATATTAAATATTTGAAAAAAACCTAATGACTTATGGATAGGTTGATACCTAATTTTATAGATATTTTCTTTTAAAATAGCAGCCCATCTAAATTGAAGAAGTGTATTTTAAGGGCTGCTTACTGTAGACTAAGGGTATGTCGTGGTTCATCAAATATCTTGTGAATATTTCACTCATTAGTTGCCCTAAACGTTTGGATGTCCAGAAACTATACTATAGTTTCTATAATCAATACTAATATTGATTATTTATTGATAAATAAAAAGATTTTAATATTATTTGATTCTCCAATAAGATGAATGTGGTTCGAATATAAATACTATTTCACAGATTTTCTCATAATATAATCGTGAGAATGAATTTAAACATTGTTTTAGCGATAAGTTTAAAGAAATGCTTTACTCCCCAATAAATTGAGTGCAGTCTTACTAATATGTCTACTTAATATAATATTGTAGTGTAAACGTTTAAAGTAATTGGGTAGATTTGATTTCTCAGAAAATATAGGACCTTCCATCATGTTGTTCTTTTTTAATTTATCTATGTGTATTATAAGACTGAAGTCGTTTCTTAAATTTATATTCAAAATAAAAATTTCCATGTAAGTCCGTGATTTTTCTCAAATGTTTGTCTATGTTTTCTCAAGCATAATATATTAAGTAGCTTAAAGTAAAATCATACGGATATTATATGGTTTGTAGACTGGAAAGAATTTTAATTTAACTGCTTAAACGTGAACAGCTGCTTATTTATAAGATTAAACTGCAGATGATCATTATGACAGTAAACAACTGACTGTTAAACACATCTAATATCACTGTCAGCTCGTACCTGCTAAGACTACCTACATTTTACCAAATTCTTGTAATTGGGATTAGCTTCTAAGCCTATTTGTTATTGAGACCAGTAGATGGCAGTAGTAGAACTGCCATTATAATAACACTAGTAACAGAATGATAGCCAAGCAATGCAGCAGGAGGAAATGGTAGAACGCATCGTCTTGGGTTATGTTAATTGAACTATCGTTTCAGATTTTCGTTTCAGCTCTGGTCTGACATTAGTTTAGAAGTTAGAATGGCGAAATTCTGTACTGATTCATGACATGCTTACGGTCTGCATTTTTTACATATCGATAACCTTGGGGACATGACATATAATTCTGTTATGAAAATGGTAGAACCTTTTAGAAATGACTTTCAGACTAAAATCATATTGGAAGTAGTTAAAAACATGGCTAGATCAGGTACGTAGTGCTGACATTACATAGCGTGTAATGTAACTTTCGTAGCCGTTCAGTTGATTATGAAGTTCAGAAAATTTCTGACTTAAATTGTATCTGGCAGGAGGTTAGGCTCCTGCCCAAATGTAGCAATATTATTAAAGTACTATTATACTACTACAATAGGACTATTATACTATTATGACTATTATAGTGTCAGTCGTAGTTATCATTATGTGTAAAACAAAGCTGAGCGTACTGCTAGTTACATATTTAAAATTTTTAAAAGTAGTTCGGAAAATTTTTTTTCTGCAAAATGTTACAAAAACAAAAATGTTGAATGTAACTAAAAATTATTATTAAATGTGGTTCAACGAAGCAAAATTTTGTACTGCAGGGCAACTGTTCCCATATAAAAATTACTAAAATGAAATGTAAGTAACAAAAATTATGGCAAGAATGAAAATTTGCAACATTTTTACAACAAAAACGAAAAAAACTTTGTACATCAAAAAAAATTTTATTTTTAAGGGACACTAAATTTACAGGTTAAATACAGTATATGTAACTTACAAAACTTAAAATTAGAAGTAATGAAAATGAAAATAAATGAATTAAAAAATAACAAAACTGTAGGTAACTTTTGGCTAAAAAATTATGTTAAAGTTGCAATGTTAAGCAAAAGTTGTGTGATATCTACTCTGCACTGAAGCAAGGATATTGGTTGGTATCCATTAAAGGATTTGTCAAATGCAAAAAAGTACTTTCATTTCATACACCACAGCACAGTATAAAATTTATGTTACATGCTTGGCTGCGCTATATGTAAGCCTCGACTAATGGTCTGGCGTTTATAAAAAGTATTGGAATAGGAGTTGACCATCGAGTTTTTTAAGAGCCTAAATAGTTTTATCTTTGCTAAAGCCTCTGTCTATAGAACATAGTTCAACTATGTGCTATAAATGTTTTATTGAATGGGTTTCTTTTTAAATAGCAAATATTTCTATCTTTTCTAACATAATTAAATTAGTTTTAATAAATTTGTTTAACTAAACCTTTTCATTTGGTAGTAATTTGAAGAACTGAAATAACAATATAATTGAATTTAATAATGTTTATTAAACTATGTCTATAATAACTATTTGAAAATATAAATACTAATCAATAGGCTTTTGTAAGAATGTTTCTTTTACGTGTTTGATTTTAATAATGTGATTAAACATATTAGATCATAGTAAAGTCCTTTAAATTATCTTTATTGGAAAGTTAATTGTATGCCTTTAATGTTTAGTTATGATTTCTGGTTAATATTCCCTGCAGCTGATACCCATGAAACCCCACAACTCAAACAGTGTTGGTTTCCAAGTGGTTAAACTTAGTCTCTTTCACATATCTCGATAAAAAAAATATCTTAAGAGGTAAGATTACATGATCGGGGAAGTGATGTTCTAGGACTATAGCGTTCATCGAATGTTTGCTGCAGAAATCTGATTATTCCGTAATATCTAAATAGGTTTTAACATTGTATCCATTTTCATTCTTTTAATTCTTTCATTTAATTAGGCAAGAAAAAGTCATTAATGATGAATCTGTAGCTCTTTTAACTGATAGTTAACCATTTAAGCGAGTTTACAAGGTATTAGAAGTGTGATTAGTTCACAGCTCAAGAAATTTTTTTTATTGTATGAATACTCATACCCAGTGTTTTTCGAAAAGCTTCTCCAACCTGATAACTACTTCTTATTTGTTTTATATATTAGTTTATTCTATCAGTTCTTCTACTTAATGGTTTTCTGCCTTATTAAATAGATGGTAGAATTAGAGTTAGCAGTTTAAGTATTGTTAGTCCTGCTGCCTGTTCTGTTCTGTTTCCTTAAAGCTTAACACAATCCTGCTTAAAGTGTTAACATTTTTAAATAAAATACATATTGAGTTGGATTTATTAGCTTCTTGTTGTTGGAATGTTGTTGAAAAATAAACATATAAGAAATCTCGTATTTATATAAGTACATGAATAAGCTATTTACTATAGGGAAATCATGTAGGCACGTGTCATATTCGTGACAAGGGTAACAACACCCTTACAATATAAATATATCTAAAACAATAGCGGGGAATGGTGTGGAGGAAAAGCCAGTGCAATATATCCTTGTTTAACATATACCTGTTATAAATGTTACATACGTCTATGTAAAATATGTAATTTTATTGCTGATGTGGAGCCGCTGTTACAGGCTACAGTCGCGATTCCAATTTCAACCTAACCAAATATGAAAACAATTTAGTAAAAATGAAAAAAAGTATAAAACTGACATGAAATACGAGCAGTTTTTGAATTAATGGTAAAATGATTCGTAGTAACATACAAAATTTAGGTATTCAAAAATTTTGTTGTGAATATCATAGGTTTCACAGAAATTTAAGTGAACAATTTCTGTTAGAATTTTAATATGAATTCACCATAAAATAAATTATTTTAATTTATTTTATTTTAATTTTTTAGGCTGCTGCGTGTTACTGAAAGTGGCCTCTTGACTTATCAGAATAACATTTGGCATTCGCCAAAACCACGCTGCGTTAAGCAACTACACACGGATGATTTGCGAGTAAGTAATAATATCTGTTTTTTATAGTTGGCACTAAACTCCAACTTCAGTAGGAATATTGACTATAGTAAAATTTTAAAAATGTATCAAATATATTTCTAAGCTCGGTACTGCTTTTCTAACGCTTAAGATTTAAATCCTTGAGAATAACGTTGAAATATGTGATATCAACTGTTAGTGTTATTAGCACACCTTAATTGGAAAGAAGGGTTTCCTTTTGATTTTAAAATTTGAAAAAATCCAATTAAATTCGTTGCCAGGCTCCTCTATTTAGCAACACATCACTGCTATCAACTATAGGACGAGTTAAAAGCATTTTTTCTTAACAATAGGGATTGCCATATAGGCATCGACTAAATCATTGATATTTCCATCATACGGGAATAGGCCTTTTTTACCTTAAATGTTTTAAAGGGTTAAAACATTTGTAAAAAATTTAGCATTTCACGTTTTTAAAATGCTTTTAAGGATACAAATTGATTTAACGTGAAACATTGAGTTCTTAGAAAAAGTTAAAATTGTTGCATATTATTTGAATTTATATTTACATTTTTTTTTAAATATTAAAATAGAACAATCAAACATTTAATTGTGATTAATTTTTTTTTTATTAATAAAGGTGGATATGCAAACATTTACCTCCGCTCTTTTGGTGTTGTTATTCGGATTTGCAGTTAGTCTATTTACATTGCTTTTGGAAAATCTTCACTACCGGATGTGGCATAAATTTATGATGGAGTAATTGATTACATTAAAAGTTCTTTGTTTATTCAAAAAAAAAACTGTCTTGATGCAAAAACAAAATTTTAAGTAAATAAACACATTTTTATATAGTTTTGGAAAAATAAATAAATATATACAATAGCTACAAACATAAAAAAATCACATTTTTTGCATTAAAGTAATTAATCAGTGGTGGTAAATATAGGGTTCTCCAGCGTGGAAAGATTTTTTAACATTTTTTTTGAGCAAATCAAATAATATATAATCATATAGCAAGGGTTACTCATTACGTGGTTCTGAATTCGCAGCACTGTTTCGTGGTATATGACAAACAGAACTAACACTCAATGCATCCCATGTTTGGTTTACGGTTTTCCATATTCAATAAGAAACTTTTAGCAACCATCGAACATCTTCCAAATTGACCACACAACTTGTGATTCGACAGGCAGTAAGTATTCTGCATTTCGTGTATTATGAAATAACGGACGAATTTATCATTCATTTAAGCGCACTAAAGGAAAAACAGTGAAAAAATTTGAGGAAACTGGATACATAATAGATCTGGATATTATCTAAACGTTGATAATTACATTTGTTGGAGAAATTGTCAAAAAAAAATCAATTTCACTATGCTGCGCATAGCATTTGAGGAGTAATTTACAGCACACTATAGCGTACTTTGTATTTGATTTCGGGTTCCTGTCCTTATGAAAGTCAGCTAAAACATTAACTAATGCAAGCTCAGAATAAAATACATAGAGCATATTTTTGTTGGATAATTGACACTAACACTAGATGAGCTTCATTTATCGCTTGACGGATATGTCTATAAAAAAAATTGTCACATCTGTACCAGTAAAATCCAAAAAAAATGAATGTATGATATACTATTTCGTCTGGAAGTTATTGCACAGACTCTGAATGCGGTAATCACAATGATTACCAATTTTTTATGGCGTGAAATTGAAACTGACAATTTTACTGATATGAATTAAGTGGATAATACTCAAACTCTTGACGTTTTGGAAACGATATCCGTCAAACTATACCACCCTGTGCTCCAATTGGAGCGATAGTTAAACACACATCTGTGTATTTGTTATCATATAGGATAACAACGGTCAGCATGGACTGCGTTGTCACCTTAACAAAATGAGTCTACCCGAAATGATAGATTGTCGACTCTGCTTAGAAGCAGACGAGACTTTCAATCATATTCTCTGTGACTGTTCAGCCTTAATCTGCGCCAGGAGAACGTGACTAGGTGGGGAATTACTTCTCCTGACATTATGAGGTCCTCAACGGCTGACATTTTGGCTTCCATTCGAAAGGCGGAATGCCTTTTGTTCGGGTAGGGTTTGTAGCAGCATAAAGGATTAACTATAGTCGCGGTGATTTACTCCATTAGGAGCCGGTACTCTGTTTATTTCAACTCTATTCCATTCAATCATCAAGAAATTGAGAAAAAATTCTATCAAATTAAAGTTAAGCTATTTTGTTACAAGATATATGCTGACAGGACATCGAGAATAATGTCAAAATATCGTATGATGTCATATGGAAAACATTAGAATGGTATGGTATTTCACATTTAATACAAACCCCAAACGATATATTGAAATGTAAATTTTAATCAAGTATTTTTTTTTTCGTTTAGTTTTGGAAATATAAAATGAATAACTCTGGATATAAAAATAAGTAGGAATATAAAAATAAATAGCGATAAAATATATTAATATTTAGTGAAAGTAAATGTTCTTTCAATTTTTTATTTTTAGCCCGGGGTCTATTTTAAACTCTTTGAAATTAATATTTTTGGTAAAACAAACATTTCTTTCATCTTTATTAAATAAAACACTAAAAATTGAAATTTAAAATTTATAAATAAAATAAAATTATACCTTTTATCTTTCTGATATGGTATCATTTTGACCATTCATATATTTATATTTGTATAATCGCAAATTTATGTAGGCGTAATATTTGCAAACATTTGCATATTTTGAAGTCCTTTTGAACGCAACACATTTTATGGCCTGCATCCTTTTAGCATAAATTTCCGTTTACCTATTCACTTTAGACTAATGTATTGAACCGTGAAAAGGACATTTTTATTTTGATCAGCAAAGCGTATTAATTTTTGCTTATATTATTTAACTTTTAAATATTTTGCATTAAGCTATAATCTATTGTAAGCTATAAAAAACAATATTATATTATAATCAGGACATAACACATAGTATCACACATAAGAAGAGTTTTATTATCCTAAATTTATCCTAAAAGTATTTTTTTTAATGTTTTTTATTAAATTGTAATCTGTTGCATATATAAATAAAATTTAAGAAAAAATTAAACTAATTTAAATTGCTAACAAAATTGACTACATTTGATTTAAATTAAGTATTTTTTTAATACTTTAATGAGTATTTATTTAATAAAAAATGTACATCAGTTTTTAAACTATATCAAATTGTATTTAAAATACCTGGCATTTGTATTAGAACAATTATATACGGTTAACAGATGAAAAAAAAAAATTCTAAAAATATTGAACTGAATATAAAATCAATACTTATACTTATATTTCTTCAGATATATATCACCTTTAAATTATTGTAGTTTATTCTTTAAAATATTGAAACAGTTTATTCAATTTATTTAAATTTGCATAAGAATCAAAACTAAACCATTTCTTCATTAAAAATTGGACCATATAATCGTGAAATTTCGTCTTAACTTAATTTAATCAACTTTTTAGAATTTGTTTGTATCGCACGACACTCTTAGTTAGTACTTTTGGGTCTCTCTAATATTCAATAAGAACCATATTGTATTTATTGTTTGCAACCATGCATTTTTTACACTCAGAAGGAAGTTTTATCAAACATAAAGCGCGGTGCAGACTATCATTTTTGAGTGTCATTCAAGAGAGAATATCCATAAATGACACTCAAAAATAATAGTCTGCACCTTTGAATGACACTCAATCAACATGTTGGTGTGTTTATAAAAATTTTAGTGAGTATATTATTCAGCTTCTCATATTCGTCATTCAAGAGAATATTTTTGCGTGGTTGCATTAACAGACTTCCAATGTGCGAAATACACTTACAGCGTTCGCAAACACCCTTATTTTTCAAAAATTTTGTTTGAACGACAACTCTTGAATGTGAACATGTTTCAGTTCGGTCGCTAGAATAAATTTGAGCAAGAGAGACCGCAACTTGAATGATATTCAAAAATGATAGTCTGCATCGCGCTTAAGTAATTTTGTTTTTAAAAGAACTCGGTTGAGTTCTGGACTTGATATAGTCTATAGTTTCAAATCATATGATGATTTATTATTTTCTGCGTTTTTTCATGATATTTAGAATTCAATTTTTTTATTAACACATATATTATTTTTAATAAAACTGTGTCTAGCGTTTAATTTTAATTACTTTACTTATATCAAATATAATTTCCTGTTGTGGTATTATTAAATTTAAATTTTCGATTATCGAGTTTTTGTAATTTTTTATATAAAAAAAATAAAATTTGATTTAAATAGAATTAGTCATGCGAAATTTTAAATTTAGGATGCAATTAAGTATTTATTTTCGGTTGTTAAATTTTAAATATTTGGTAGCATTTAATTACATATTTCGTATTCATTGAACATTTGCTTTGTTTAATAAAATATTTAAATATTTTTAATATTACATATTTAGTAATAATTGTTTAAACTAAAATATGTGGCTTTTCGGTTATTTACGTAATTTTGTAATATTTAAGGAACTCAATAAATCTCAGATTTCAGATAATATATTTTTATGTGATTAAAATATTTCATTTATTGTTTGTTTTACTTAACTGAGTATCACATATTTACGTAATTTAATAAATTAAATATCTCAGCGCAATAATCATAAACTGTTTCAGACTCATATTACCTGTAATTCAATAAATGCTGGAGGCCATTTTGATATAAAAGTAGCTTCGTATATAAATTGAATTTGTTTATTAATATTAAAATAATTGTGCAAAAATAAAACTCATTTTTAATGAAAAGATATCGATATCCCTAATATACTGAGTAATTGATATGATGATATTTAGTATCAATACAAACATTAGGAATATTATTCGGAGAGGTGACCGTTGCATCTAACAAATTTAATTCGAAAAATTATATTTGTTCTGAAACGAAAAATGAGGCGAATTTTTAAATAATATTGACACAGTTGGCAATTCCTTCTGGAAGTTAAGCAAATACTTGCGATTAAAGACAATTTCTGTAATATCTGCAATGCGTTATAATATCGGTTGATGCTACACTATAAAGGAAAAAGCAGATGTTTTTGCAAAATCTTTGAAGAGCCAATTTACGCTCAATTCTGAATTAGTTGAAAATAAACCAAATGAAGAGCAAATTAATAGAATCGTGATGAATATTTTATTAATTAGGGAAGTTGGAACTTTATCTTCAACAAATGAGGCAAATATCAGCACTTTTCTTAGGAATTTAGAAAAAAAAGAAATTCCTACATGCATGTGTATCAGTATAATAACAATCAGAGCTATCATTAATGCAGTCTTTCTGTGAATCTGTAGTTACAGTGTTCTTTTCAGGACATGGAAAGAATTTTATTTCGCAAGATTCAAATATAAGATATAATTTCTAAAGAAAAGTTTGGATATCATTTCTACTAATCTAAACCTGGCAAGAGTTTCTCAAACTAAGAAAAAGGTCTCAGCCAAATGATATCTATTGGATCAATTGTGTTTGATATCGCCACGACGTTTAATAAGGCATGGCATAACAGTTTGATCGGCAAACTGGAAAAGAATGATAGAAGTTGAAATAATTAAACTTTTGCCTTACTTTTAATCACATAACAAGTTCTTGGTAAAAGTTCAAAACTATTTTTCATCAATAAAGATTTTTAAGGCGGATGTCTAATAAGTATCCCCATCATCTCCTTTATTTTCTTTTGCAATCAATGAACGTAATTTCGCTCTTTGCTGACGACACATGTATTATTTATACTGACAAAAATACTAATTTGGCTGT